CTCAGTTAGCTTAAGATCATGTAACACTGAAGATTTACACGACAATTACTTTTGCTGCCTGTTCAAACTACTTATGAGTTGCATCAACACAGATTTTAAGTTTCTTTGGAAAACCCTGTTCAATCCACTTAAATTTGTTAAAAAAAAAATAATAAAAAAAAAAAAAATATATATATATATATATATATATATATATATATATATATATATATATATATATATATATTTATTTATATATATATTTATATATATATATATATATTTATTTATTTATATATATATTTATATATATATTTATATATATATATATATATATTTATTTATTTATATATATATATATATTTATTTATATATATATATATATATATATATATATATATATATTTATATATATATATTTATATATTTATATATATATATATATATATATATATATATATATATATATATATATATATATATATATATATATATATATATAAATAAATATATATATATATATATATTTATATGTGTGTGTGTGTGTGTGTGTGTGTGTGTGTGTGTGTGTGTGTGTGTGTGTGTGTGTGTGTGTGTGTGTGTGTGTAAGAAAAAATTAAGTTAACAATCAATTTGTGTGGAGCCCAGCTTTTTTTACACTATTGAAGTAATGATGGCTGAAAATTCATTGCAATAATGGAAATAAAACGTGTATTTAAGTATATTAAAATAAAATATATTTAATTTTTATAATAGTACGGAATTTTTTATTAAACCTCTCTGACATCTGATTAAAATAATTAACGTCAAAATTACAAACTTTACAAAAAAAATTACACTTACAAAATTAGTTCCCAATTTTCATACCAATGTGTTCATCTTTATACTGTAAATACATGATTGCACATTAGATTGTGTTTGTTTTTTCAACATTTGGACGATCACTTACTTTTTTAGATAGATAGATAGATAGATAGATAGATAGATAGATAGATAGATAGATAGATAGATAGATAGATAGATAGATAGATAGATAGATAGATAGATAGATAGATAGATAGATAGATAGATAGATAGATAGATAGATAGATAGATAGATAGATAGATAGATAGATTTTAAATTAAATTGAAAACGGAGGCAAAATGTCATTGTCATGTATTGTTGTATATGACATTTTGCTGAATCTTTGTTAGAAGAGGTCGCTTTGCACTTGATTTCATGCTGCTACTACGTCACTTCCGGTTCCGAGCTGTCCGGTGTGTGTCGGCTATTATGCATCTTGTACTGTAACACACAAGCATTTTTCCTAAATATTTTGAGCGTCTTATTTTGATTGTCGCCGGAGCGTGTTTCTGAGGTAAGGTTAATTTACAAACGTGATCAGTTCATGTTAATTTTCCGTTGAATTGTTTCGTTTAACGGTATTAATGCTTTATGACGCAGAAAAGGCTGCAGGCGGCTTACGTTAGCTAATGTTAGCCCATTCATTGATGCAGGTCACCGGCATACAAACAACCTGTTTAACCTGTTTATACGTGTTTTTAAACATGTTATCGTTTGTTCTTACAGTTTACAAATGTTAACCACATCTTAGCGTTAAGTTTTCTTTAAGAACTGTGATTAGCGTTGTGTCACTGGCCCTTTACTTTTACATTCCTTCAATGCCAACCAGAACGTTAGCATTAGAATTTAGCAAATCGCAAAGTTATACATGTTGTGTTCGTATCGGCGATTAACAATATAATTTTTATGTTTACATCTTATTCATCTGCAGGCCGTCAGCAATGGCGGACATTAAGAACTTCCTGTATGCTTGGTGTGGAAAAAAGAAACTAACACCGAACTATGACATCCGAGCAGCTGGAAATAAAAACAGACAGAAGTTCATGTGTGAGGTACGTTTAGTTATCTTCATATATTAATATTAAAGGGGTAATTCACCTAAACATGAAAATCAACTCAATTTACTCACCTTTAAGTAGTTAAAAACCTTGAGTTTCATTTTTCTGTTGCACGCAAAAGAAGAAATTCTGAAGAAATTTTAAAACCTGTAACCATTTACTTCCATAAAAGGGAAAATAAATACTATAGAAGTCGATGGTTCAGCTTTCTTCAAAATATCTTCTTTTGTGTTTAACAGCAGAAAGAAATTTAAACAGGTTTTAAGTAAAAGGTGGGTAGATGATTGCAAAAATTTCATTTCTGGGTGAAATATAACTTTGAATTGGGAATTGTTTTAGGAAAACTGCATTAAATGTTTTATTTTTGTAGGTGCGTGTGGAGAGTTACAGTTACATCGGTATGGGAAACTCCACCAACAAGAAGGATGCTCAGTCCAATGCCGCCCGAGATTTTGTGAATTATCTAGTGCGGACAAAAGAAATAAGTCCTGGTGAAGTCCCTGCTCTCGGGGTCAGTATTAGCACATCTGATGCTCATATATGATGTTTTGGGGTGAATGTCTTAATATCAGGTTCATAATTTTCAGGTCAGTGTTCCTGATGGACCGAGTGAAGGAGGTAATGATGATGGTGGCGGATTTGGAAATCTCCCGTCTAACTGTCCACTGCCTCCACATCTGGCTGTGAAGAAGGAGTTAGGTGAGAGAATGGCTGAAAGTGCTGGTTCACCCTAAAAGGGAAATCTTTTCATCATTAGCTATGTTTCCATCCAAAATTGCGAATAAAGCAGTGTTTCCATCCAGCGAGTCAAAGAGAAATAAAGATTTGAAGATGTGAGATTCTGGAGACACTCTTGATTCTGGAGGTCCTTAATAATACAATAACACTAATACTGAAATAGTTAAGGTGTTTTAGAATGACAGGAACAACATTTTAGATGTTTTACAATGTGCTCAGCCTGCTGGTTCATCCATTCATACACATTTTTGTCATCACATAATCTCATAACCAAATCACATGACATTTTTTAATGCGTATGCTGGAATTTGTTCGGTAAAGGTGTTTCCATTGTAGTTTATCTGCATCTTTTCCTATAGAATAAAAGGCTTATTCTATTCAGTTATAAAATATAAAATTATATTCATATATAATTAATGCGCATTTTCAAAGTTGATGCTTATCTTGGTGTTTTAATCAACTGTTTTTTTTATGCGCAGATCTAAAATACACAAAAGAATTGTGGATGGAAACATATCTACTCTCTCACATTCAAGTGGTTTTAAACTCTTATGACTTTCTTTTCTTTAAAGCAAGACATTTTGAAAAGTTGGAAAAAGCAGCCATAGTTTATTTCCATAGTAGTAACAAAAAATTTTGTAGAAGTCTATGGCTGCTTTTTTTTTTCCACTCCAACATTCTTCACTATATCTTCTATTGTGTTCAACAGAAGAAAATAAGTTAGGCAGGTTTAAAAAAGTGGGCGGATGAATAGGCTATGACAGGCCCTAATATGATGGTGATGAAGGAATTTGTTTTGTTCGTTTAGGTTGGGGGAAAACATTTTAAATATGCAAGAGTTTGAGAAGATGAATTGGTACATTTTTGCAATGTGTTTTAATTTTTTAGCTTTAATAAAAAAAAACTATTATTTTAATTATTTCTTAGTTTTTATAATCTTGGCTTTGATTTGTCTAGTCTTAATGCATCTACGATGGCATGTATATTTTACCTCTGTGTTCTTATGGAAAGAGCTTTGAGATGATACTTTTAAAGGCTCTATATAAAATAAAGTTTATTATGATTTTAAAAATGTGTACTTTACTAAACCGTCCAAAATCTTTGTGTCTCAGAATCTTGTGAGGGTTCTGCACCTGTCCCTGGAGTCACAGGTTTAGGCTACTCAGGACGTAATAATGCACCATGGGAGAGAGGAGCTAACCTGCAGGAGTATTACTCCAAGAAAGAGGAGCAGGATGCAAAAGCAGTAGGTCTTTTGTTTAGGCAGTTTGCTGTCTAATAAATAGAACTGTAGTTAAGTTTCTGAGAATGAATTGTTCTTTTTTTAATACCGAAAAGACATATGAATCAGAGGAAGTTGATCTGAATGCTGGCCTGCATGGGAACTGGACTCTGGATAATGCAAAGGCCCGTCTGAACCAGTTCTTTCAGAAGGAGAAAAATCAAACCGACTACAAGTATAGCCAAGTGGGCCCTGACCACAACAGGTCAGACTTCCATTTACTGTAACAGCTTATGTCACATGTTAAGGGTTTGTTTTTCTGCTGGACTGAAACAGTGACAGAGAACTCCTTGATGTGTATCTAACCTCAAGGAGATCTCAGATGACAAATCACGGATGTTACTTTTAAAACAAAATCACCAGTGTCATATGAGTGAATCTCACAAAACTCATCAAGAACATGTCCAGGTCATATTTCACTCCAGAGTTGTAAGAATGAATAATGGTAATTAAAATGGATGGGAATAATATACTTAATATCACAGTGCATCTAAAAGCAGAGTTAACTATTGATAAATAAAGATGGCTAGCTTTATTTTCAGGACATTAAAATATATAATAATATTGTTGATAATTATTTACCATATTTTCTCCTAAATATACTGGATATGAATGGTCCAAATTGTATTGAGGGAGACTAAAATAGGTAGCCCTGAAGCAAAATGAGTATAAGAAGGCATTTTTGTTGTTAAGTCATCTATAAGAAAAGCAAAAAAACAGCAGTGTGTTGGCATTCAATATAAACAGCATTTATTAAGTTTCAAACCTAAGCTAATGTATTTAAAGTGAATCTGAAGCTAGTTATATTGAAGCTCTACGAACACTTGTGTCTCTTGTTCGGTTCAAAAATGCAGCTCTTGTTTTTGGTGGGAATTGTGACCTGGATGTGTTTTTGTGAGATTCGCACATGTGGTTCATACGATCTTAAAAAGAGGACACTAGAGATGCCAGAAATCACAGCCATACATGGGGGCAAACATGTGACATGACTTAGGCTCCACTAAGAGGTCACATGGTCAAGTGTGTGATTGGTTGGGTTTTGATGTGGGAGAGGTAAAATAATGTCTGGTTGTGATTTCTGGTGTCACTCGTCCATCAGGGGTCAAAGCCTCCAGTACCTAGAAAGGACAAAAACAAACAGCATGTTTAGAAGTCTGGCAGAAAAGCAAACCTGCTCTGGATTGGTTGTGCAGTACGGAGTCTGCACAGAAATGTTGATCTCATGCGCTGTCCGGTTAAAAGGTCAGTTTTTTTGCGCTACATTGTTAAAGACAAATGTAGGCTAAATAGGACATTTTCATGCTAACCTTTGCTTTGTTGTAGGAGTTTTATTGCTGAGATGACAATCTTTGTTAGACAGCTGGGTAGAAGTAAGTATCAGAATGCTTTTATGTACAATAATATATTCCTATAATAAATGGTAATGTCAAGCAGTTTCAGTCTGTTAATATCTGTTTTACTTTTCCAGGGGTTACTGCTCGTGAGCACGGCTCTACAAAGAAGCTGGCTGCCCAGTCTTGCGCTCTCTCTCTTGTCCGTCAGCTGTACCATTTGGGGGTTATAGAAGCTTACACAGGACAAACTAAGAAAAAAGAAGGAGAAAGCGTGAGTTGAACAGTCTAGTTCAACTATCTTTGAGGCCTGTGTGTTTGACACATCTAACTTTCTGTTTTGGTTGCTATGACAGGTAGATGTTTATCCAGTTAATGTCAATGATGATGTCCAACACCAGCTGTACAGTGTTGTGCAGGAACTTGGCATCCACATCCCTCCTCCTGTAAGTGTTGGACTGTAATCTTACTTGACTTTTACAAGAATAATATGTGCTTTCAATTTTGCTGTGTGTCTTGTTTTAGCCTCAAGACCCCAACAGTCCAGTGTCTCTGGTGCAAGGGAAATTGGCTCATTTTGAACCCTCTCAAAGGCAGAGCATGGCAGGTGTGGTGCCGTGGTCTCCACCACAGGTCAACTGGAACCCTTGGACCAGCTCCAACATTGACGAAGGACCACTAGCATTTGTGAGTTTGCTTTTCTGCATCGATCTTTTCAATTGGTGTTTGCAAGCAAATTTGGGGTGGTCGATTTCATAACAATAAAAATGTTTTGTTCTTGTTTTTGGCTGCAGTGCACCCCAGAACAGATCAGCAATGACCTTCTGAATGAGCTCAACTATCAGCTTGAACAGGACCAAAATCTGCAGACGGTGAGATAAAAATGCCACTTTAAGACTCCATGAAATCAAATAGAAAATTTCAACGTGGTGATGTCATTGGCCATTGAACATTTCCTGACTGTTGTCAACCTAATTCATATATGTAACAAGAGGCGATTCAATCATAACTTAATGTTGTAACAGCTATCATAACATTATTTGAAATTTGAAATGTAAAAGGAAATACATCAGGACCATTGTAATTATTACATCCCTCAAAATGATCTATATGAATTCTGTGTGTTTTAGTACGTGTATTAGATTTGATGCCATTTAGGCCCATTTTACACTTGCTATTTAAATATGTTTTTTTTTGTTTAGTTTTTTTTTAATCAGATCAGAGAAATGGTCATAACAAAATCTTGAACACATAAGAGATGCAGAATTCATAATAATTGCATGTTTTATTTAAAATAACATGTTCTAGAATAATAGTTATGTAAGTGTGCACCGTATTTTATCCCATTTTTATGTTCTATGTTACACCTTAGAAGTCAAATTCAAAGCAACTAAAAGTCTATTATGCGGGATGCCTTCATTATTACCCTAATTACTATCCTCTCTTCACTATATTTATTAGCTAGAGTTTTGTTTTAGGGTCATCTTTTGTGTTATCTTTCAAGGAATAATTAGATTCATACCTTACCACATGGTATCTTGATGGGTTCTGTGACTGAAGACAATGTCCACTCCAGGAAGAAAATTAATAAAAATACACTTTTATTAATAAATTAAATTTAGTGAAAACAAAGAATAAAACAAATTCAAGAACAAAATATAAACCTGTATTTTGCGCTGAAAATAAAGGGCCTAAAACTTTCAGTATACAGAAACTTGTTAAGCACGCTGCTGGTCTGCCTGTCCCAGCCTTTTATAGAGTATTCAAGCATTTGAATACAGGTGTGTCTTTAATGTTATAAGTCGTATAAGTTGTTACCGCTGATTTGCTTGCGTATATCTCTAAAAATGTTAATCAACATTTGGACAGTTCATCGGGGCTTTCCTCCAAAGCCATATTATTTAGCTGGTGAAGAATATTTTCTTTTAAAGATAACGTTCTTATGCCCTTCTAGTTTGCAATTAAAACAGATTGTTAGAAGTGTCATGTGGACCATATCCTCTTTTAGCGCCAGCAGATGGCTGACCCATCTTAGTACGTCGTCCTTGACCTCTTCAAACTCTGTCGGAGATGCCACTCTCTTCTCTTACATTTCGTCTCATCTCTAATAGCTGTTTTTGCAAGCATAGGAATATCTGCATGTGTTAGTGAAGAACAATATTAATGGCTTTTCCTGTAATAAGTGACATGTCACAGTTTTTAAATGATGGGTATTAAAAAAAACATTTCAAGTATAAATGGGCTTGTCATTGCAAACTAGTTGTTACTCACGGTGACCCGAGTTTGATTCCTGGCTTGAAGTTGAACATTTGACTGCTACTGATTGCGTTCTTAAACCCCTGATTGACCATTGTGTTCATATGCTCAACAGAAATGACTGTGATTGGCTGTGACGGTCATCAGCTCACCAAACTCACCACTTTTACTGAGTGTAACCACAGATACAGGAACACTGGAGAGTTTTAAAGCCGCGATTCATCAGCAGATCGCTAATATATCAGCTTATAGACAAACCAGCTGATTTACATATCTTTGAAATACTCCAGATGACCTTCACGCCCAAATTACAGTCATTTCTGTTGAGCATGTGAACACAATGGCAAATCAGCACTGATTAAGAACGTACTCAAAAGTGCTCAAATGTTAGCTGGAAACTGACGTTTTTAAAATTTCTGTATCGATTGGTAACAAATTCCAGTAGTGTTACAGCTTTACCTTGCATGTTCTGTTTATGTAAAATCACTTTTGTAAGTGGACTCCAAAATTGGGAAGTTGCCATTTCCCAGGTTTAATGAGAATTATGTCAATGCTGAAAGTGTGCATGGTTTAAGCTTATAATACTTCACAGAAAGGCTCATTTTTGGTGGTGTTCAGTGTGAGCATCGTTTATGGTGAAAATGGATATAAAGTTTCAATAGTCTGGTACTGAACATTAAGCATGTTCTTCTTACAGATTCTAACGGAACGAAGTCAGCTACCAGTCAAGAACTTTCAGGAGCAAATCATGTCCACCATTTACAATAATCCAGTGGTCATCATCCGTGGAGCTACCGGCTGTGGAAAGACCACTCAGGTTCCTCAGTACATCCTGGACGAGTTCATTAAGGGAGGCAGAGCTTCCGATTGCAATATCGTTGTTACTCAGGTCAGTCCGGTGAAATGGTCATTTATTTTGTGCGTTGGCATACCACAAGGAGATCGCCTGTGTGACTTCCCTCTGCTGTTATTCCTCCTCCTAGCCAAGACGTATCAGTGCTGTTTCAGTGGCAGAACGCGTGTCTTTCGAGAGAGGTGAAGATGTGGGCAAAAGCTGTGGCTACAGTGTGCGCTTTGAGTCTTTCCTGCCCAGACCTCATGCCAGCATCCTCTTCTGCACAGTTGGTACGTTCTAGTTTTTTAAATCCTTTACTCTGTAACACAAAAGCACTTGGTGATGTTGCTAAAAGACTTTTATTCACAGGGGTGTTACTGAGGAAGCTAGAGTCTGGTATCCGTGGGATTAGTCACGTGATCGTGGATGAAATCCATGAGAGGGACATAAATGTAAGACCATACCATTTGTTTTTAAAGGGAGAGTCAACCCAAACTAAAAATGTGCTCATTTTAATAGTTTCTTTTTTTCTGTTGAGCACAAAAGAAGATATTTTGAAGTATGTTTGTAGCTATTGATTTCCATTGTATGAAAAAATACTATGGAAATCAACAGCTGCTAATTTTCCACATTAATCAAAGTATCTGTTCAACATGAGATAAAGGTAAAGGGGAGTTACTCATGACATAATTTTTATTATTGGGTGAACTTTTCTTTTAAGTTAGTTACAGAGATGTGTGTTCGGTTTCACCAAATTCACACAAAAAAATTTTTCCCGTCTAGACTGATTTCCTGTTGGTGGTGTTGAGAGACGTGGTCCAGGCTTACCCTGATGTGCGTGTCATCCTCATGTCTGCCACCATTGACACCACCATGTTTAAGGAATACTTCTTCAACTGTCCTGTCATCGAGGTACATGGACGTGCACATCCTGTGCAAGGTAAGAAGCATGATTTTACAATGCACTGCATTATGAGTTTAATTATAATACTTTTCTTAAATAATATTGTCATCTCACATGCTGGAATGAGGGTAGCTGCTGCTTAATAATTCTATTGTTATATTTTATATACGTTCAGAGTATTTTCTAGAAGACTGCATTCAGATGACTCAGTTTGTACCACCACCAATGGACCGGAAGAGAAAAGATAAAGATGACGAGGGTGGAGATGAGGATGTATGCTTTGCTTTTTGTTTTGCTTGTTGTTGTTTTAGGTTAACAGATAATACACTCTTTTTTAAATTAAGTTACATTTAATTCTATTAAAATTATTACTTTATGACTGTTTATAGCTCTTAGAGTTAAAGCTAATTATTAAGATGTTATAGTGTAATTATTATGTTTTTTTATTCAGAAAGGATGCACTTAACTCCTCAAAGTCCAAGCCGTTATGACAAAATAATTATAAATAAAATACAACATTTCTAACAAAACAGCTTGACTTGTCTATTTCAGGTGAACTGTAATGTCATCTGTGGTTCTGAGTACAGTCCAGAAACCAAGCGTGCCATGTCTCAGCTGAACGAGAAGGAAACCTCATTTGAGCTGATTGAGGCTTTGCTGAAATACATTGAAACTCTGGAAGTACCAGGAGCTGTGCTAGTCTTCCTTCCAGGCTGGAACCTCATCTATTTTATGCAGAAACACCTGGAGATGAACCCACACTTCGGTCTGTAATTTTAACACTTCCTCTGAAAAGACTTTTGCCATTTTTTTTAACATTTAATCACTAACCTTCCAATGTTGTGTCTTTGTAAGGTGGTCACCAATACCGAATCCTGCCCCTTCACTCTCAGATCCCGAGGGAAGAACAGAGGCGAGTGTTCGAGCCTGTGCCAGACGGTGTGACTAAGGTATGTGAAAGTTTAGTTCTGCATTTTATGAAATGATCAATGAAAACTTTTGGTTTAAACCAATTTCGCTTTACACCACAGGTCATTTTGTCTACTAACATTGCTGAGACCAGCATCACCATCAATGATGTGGTCTTCGTACTCGACTCCTGCAAGTAAGAAACATTTTTATTGAACATGCTGTGTGTAGAATTCAGAAAGCCATAATATTTTGGGCAGCCGTGTATTGCAGCTATTTGCTCATCAGCTCATCACTGTCAGTGTAGTTCTATTGCTTTAAATACAAGTTAAAAAAAATGTAAAATGACGTGTAGCAATAAACTAATAGAAGAATTCAGACACTAGACACACTCTGAGAACATTTACATGAGTATATAAATATATGCTTCGCTTTTTCCTTTTTTATAGGGCAGCAGCAAAATATGTTTTTGTTCATACAATGGGGGTCAATGGTATAAATGTTTTAATCAAATACTTTCTCACACAAAACAAAGTCATACAGGTCTGAAATTATATAAGAGTAAATCTAAATCTTCTCTATACTAAAGCAAAATCTCACCTTCATACATGTAACCACTAATAAGCTACATTCTAAACAAACAAAAAACGTGAAGAGATCAGTGCTCAAATAATCAAACTCTTCTAAAATTAGCCCTTAATAGGAGGAAAATCGAATTATTCTTTTAATTATTTATGTAAGATGCCATATTGGACACCAGACTTAAACACAGACATTTGCTTAATGGAGAAGTTGCTCCAAAATGTCAGTATTGTAGTAACATGCTAAATGTAAACTGCATACTTCTGCAATGGCCAATTATTAATGTTATGAGACAACGGTGGAGAGACTTTGAAGTAATTGTTTTTAAATGTGAATCAGTTAAAGGTTGTATTGAGTTATTATGTTTAAAAAATACTGTTTAATTTTTATTTTATGTATTATTTATTGTTGTTTGTATTTTTATTGTTATAAGCCTTTGTGTTAAACAAAAGTGTCATTTATAAAGACGTCAATAAACTTGGGGTTTGTTGCCATCAAATAGCCATTGAAGCTGACATGGAAAAAGTCTAAACTGTCTACTAGGGATGCTCAAAATAATCGATTAACTGTTAACCGAAAGGGTGCGTTTGTGACCGATTAATGCTATCAGTTAAACAATTAAAATTATTATTTTATATATTTTTAGTTTGGCTGCATAAAGGGCAGATTGAATGCGCCTTTGCGTTAAGAGGGGCATCTTTTGCACGCGACTCATCCCAGAGCAGCAGTTTGTGTTGTCAAGACAACTACAGAGAACTTTTAAAGAGCTTGGTTTCCGCTACATTCATTCTTCCATGGCGGGGAACAAAATGCATCCCGCCACGGCTACATTACCCATTCAAAACATTCAGTCATTGTTGTTGTTGTTTTTAATAGCGGATTATAATCGCATCAAAACGTATTAAAAGGTAAGTGGATTATAACAGCGCAAACTTTTTTGTAACCGTATAGTGCTGTGCGCTGTCTGTTGGTTGGTTTAATCCTTTGGGGTTACGTGCTGACTGACTGACTGACAGGTGCGCGATGCGTGAGGCTAGCAAACACGCAGAAGCTTTCAGTTAAGATGAACACAGTTTCTATAGTTATACTTTATTTATAGATAAAGTATGACTCTGCATATAATCACTGTATCATGCTGGAGTTTATAGCCATTTCGCTTTACTTCAGGACGCATTATTGCCGCTCTGAAGGTCTAATCGCTGTTTTAAGTTATCCAGAGCTGTATGAATGTACAAATCTTGAATATCATAATATTATTAAATATTACAATTTTATCAACATATACAGCAACACTTTTGCACAATCGATACCCAGCTGATTCAGTCGTTTCATAAGAGGACCGCGCTTCTTCTCTTTTTTTTTTCCTTGTCAACGTATAAAGGCAGTGAGGTGCGCTTCGCGTTTTTGGAATAAAAAAAAGCACGTTAGCTGTGGTCGGCCACTTGTTCAACTGCAAGACATACTTAACTTGCGGGACGATAATGTATAACCCGTGCCTACAGACACATTTGCCAAAGAAGCAAAATCTAAGAAGAATATTGCTTGAAACAGACGTGTTGATGCCAAAAAAAAGCGCTGATGTTGACCTGGATCTGCATCATAAACGCAACAAATAGGCTTTACCTTTTATTTTACAGCTTATAAAGCATTTATGTACATTAATGCAATATCACATTTAAACAACAAAACTGTTTACAAAAAGTCAACATATGCGCGCATGTTGTTGTCTTTTCATCACGCAGCGCGCGCACTTGAGCCGCGATGGAGAGAAAGGAAACCACGTCAAGACATAATCTTTAAAATAATGATTTCTATTAAAAATGTAAAAAGGTTTTGTGATTATAATAAAACAAGCGGGGCATTAAATAAATGCATATTTTCCGTGGAGCGAGCGATTTGAAGAAGTCTGCTATTTTATTTGACGGAAGACAAAAATATGATTGGAAAAAAACAGCCTATGCCAGTTATTAAAAATAATCAGTGTTTTCGATTTGTAATATAAATTAATTATTTAAGTGGAAAATAATTTAGGGCAGTCCTATTTATTTTATTCATTTTATTTATTTTATTCTGTTCTTCTGTGCTAAACACTGCACGTGCGTGAAAATGCTCTATTGTATTGTTCTATTATTAATATGCTAGCATATAAAAATAAATCAGTATTTTATGCAATATTTAATGTGTCAGACACAAAATAGACACTTCAATTTGTTTAATATAAAATTAATAGTAATCTGACCAGTTAACCGTTAATAACCGATTAATGAGCAGCGGTTGTCGGTTAGCAAAATTAACTGAAATGAGCATCCCTACTGTCTACACTAATATTAGGTTAATAACAATTGGAACACAAAATTGCAAGTGCATTTGACATTTGTGTATGAGATTTTGAAATTGGCATTGTATCTTTTTACAGTGTATATGTCCTGTTTTGTCCACAAATGACTTGACAAATTTCAAACTTGTTTCATTCAGGCAGAAGGTGAAGCTGTTCACTTCTCACAACAATATGACAAACTACGCCACTGTGTGGGCCTCAAAAACCAACCTCGAGCAGAGGAAAGGGCGTGCTGGCCGAGTCAGACCAGGCTTCTGCTTTCACCTGTGCAGTCGGGCTCGTTTTGAAAAGTATGAAATCTCATTCTTTATCTTAGTCTCCAAGTCAAACAGTATATGAAGTTCTTACTGTAATATTTGTCGTGCAGACTGGAGACCCACATGACTCCAGAGATCTTCCGTACGCCGCTGCATGAGGTGGCGCTCAGCATTAAATTACTGAGGCTTGGAGGCATTGGGAATTTCCTGTCCAAAGCCATCGAGCCACCACCATTGGATGCCGTTATTGAGGCTGAACATACTCTGAGAGGTAGAACTTCTGCTGCTTTTTTTTTTTTTCATACCAGTGATGTTCAGGTAAACAAAATCCAACAAGCAAATGTTGTTCCCCAGAGCTGGATGCTTTAGACAGTAATGATGAGCTCACTCCACTGGGACGCATTCTGGCCAAACTGCCCATCGAACCACGACTGGGGAAGATGATGATCATGGGATGCATTTTTAAGTAAGTTTCTTTATCCAGCGTTTTCTGTTTGTGAACTGGAGGAATATTTATGATGCAATCCTGTCATATTTATCTCTGAAATTTAAAATTGAGAAACCAGTAATATATAATTATGAATACATAATAGTTTAGACTTTTTCAAAGCAAGTGAAGATCACAAAGGCTTCTAATTTATCAAAAGTACTGTACATATGTTAATACAGTGAGATGTAATAACAAAATACATTTTCATTAATAGATTATCATATTAAAAAGCTCTATTTAAAGGTCATATTGCAGGCCCATAATACTGATTGTTTTTTTTACATCTCAACACTGTTCTACAAACTACTAAGTTTTGCCTATTTGTCAACAAGACTGTTTTAATAGTTTTAACATTTATTTATGATCACTTATTCATATACTTTTAAGAAATTTTAATTTAATTTTAAATACTTTTAATAGTTGCATGTCAATATATGTTTCAATTTTAAATATAAATGTCTGAATATTGAAAGCCAAATGTTGGTGAAACATTATTTGACTTAAATTTAGATTTTTTTTTTTTTGTATTTTGTGAGTTATGTAAAGCAATAGGCACTTTAATGCACTTTTATAAATGTAATGCATATTTCAAAGTTATAAAGTTAAGAAAAATTATAAAATACATGTAAATAACTTTAATTTGTGTATATTTTTCATTTATCAATTATTTATCTATTTTATTTATTTGTTTGTTTATTTTGTTTTATTTATATTTTTTCTTTTATTTCTTTTATAATTTACTTGATTATTAAAGCTGAGGCAGCACAAAAAAAAATTCTCGGAGAGTGAACATGTTTAATTTCTCCTGCTGATCTAAAACCTGCAATTAATTTGTATAAATACGGATAATGGCAAAAGAAATGGGACAATTGTACAAAAAACAAATGGCAAGAGATCAACCCAAGTCTAATAACCCAAGTGTATAAAAGACGCTTTAAACTGTAAATTTTGAGAGCAGGCAAGATCAGACTATTTATACCAGATGCCGAATTGGTCACTCTAGGTTGACAGACTTGTACTGAAGAATGATGTATGACCAATGTGTAATCAATGTCAAGCCTCGCTCACCATAAAGCATATTTTAGACAAGATTTTTATACTCTGAGCACTTGATGGGTGTTTTTAAATTGTATCTCTATGAAGACCCTTAAGTTATTTATCAAAAATTTAACTGAAAAATATCTGATGCTTTTTTTAAAGTACATTTTTGTCACTTTAATTAATTTTATTATTATTTTTATCAGCTCTTATGAAAATATGAAGTTGTTTTTAAAGTTATAATGTAATGAATTTTTGATCTATGTTGATCTTACTATGAAATAGCCATACATTGCTGATGTGGCATCATAAAAACAACCAAATCCTTAATTGTTATTACCAATGTGTTTCTTTTTTTTTTCCACTTACCAGTTGTTTTGACTTATTGGTGTGTGTTTTTGTTAGTGTTGGAGATGCAGTTTGCACCATCTCAGCAGCAACCTGTTTCCCAGAGCCCTTCATCAACGAGGGAAAACGCCTTGGCTTTGTTCATAGAAACTTTGCAGGCTCACGTTTCTCCGATCACGTGGCCTTGCTCTCTGTCTTCCAGGCCTGGGATGAAGTTCGGTGGGTTCTGAGGGCATTATACTCACTTTATAGACACTCTGCATTGTGTTTGTTTTTTTACATTTATCAATTTAATTTCTTGTGGAATTTGCTATGTAAAAAATCTTCTTCATTTTCAGGGTGGGAGGTGAGGATGCAGAGATTAGGTTTTGTGAGCACAAGAGGCTGAACATGCCCACATTAAGGATGACCTGGGAGGCCAAAGTCCAGCTGAAAGAGATCCTTGTTAACGTTGGCTTCCCTGAAGGTTCTACCATCCTTCTAAATAATGTTATAACAACCAAGAGATATATTTTTTGTGTAAATCTTAAGTGGATTTTTTTTTCTGTTTCTTTTAGAGTGTCTCCTAAATCAGGTGTTTAACAACGTGGGACCAGATAATAACTTGGATTTGGTCATCTCTCTGTTGACGTTTGGTTCCTATCCCAATGTGTGTTACCACAAAGAAAAGAGGAAGATCCTGACTACAGAAGGACGAAATGCTCTCATCCACAAATCCTCTGTCAACTGTCCTTTCAGCAACCATGATTTGAAGTATCCATCTCCATTTTTTGTCTTTGGGGAAAAGGTTTGTTTTTAAGAGTCTTGTTTGAAACTACTGATTTTTTTAAGTTTAAACTTCATTAATACTATGTAGACACAAGGCTGTCAGTCGCACAGTGTCAAGTCTCCTAAAGGAGCTCCAGATAGAAACTTTTTGTTTTGTGGTCCCCTTATGATTAAAGTTGTTGGACGTCTGCCCGTTTCTGCCTCTGAATGAGAGAGTTGTAGTTACATTTTAGGGTAGCATTTAGAAAATTCAAAACGCCTTCGGAGAGACACAGAGCACAACCTTAAAAACCTCACTGCCAGCTAGCGTTTCGAAAGTGTTATTGAAGAGCAACACAAACAGCACGCAGAAGTATAAATGCACGACTACGTACAAGGCAGGTGCTGTGGGTCACCCCAATCATTCGATGCAGAAGTATAAATACTTTTCAGCTCCCGGGACTTTATCAGTTTAAAGAGAATTTGATTAGACAAACATACTGTAGTCCATATTGGGTCATTTTGGGCTGTTTCCCTGAAGACCAATTGTACTTTTTAATTTAATTCACCAATAACAAATTCACTAAATATTTATAATACTACTTACTAAAATGATACAAAAATGTGTCACTGTTCTATAAATGTTCATTTTGTTTTTAATAACATTGAATTGAGTATCTATTGCCAAATATCAAATAATTGTCAAGTATAAAGTTAAAAACTATTTTACATTGTAATGTTTACACAATATATAATAATAACATATAATAATATCATAATTTTATACTATTTTTTAAATAAAATTGTTACAAACTGTTCTGCTTTAGACAGCCTGCAATATAAACATAAGCACACGCCGTCAATCAAATAATTTAAAAAATGAAGATTAATCAAGTAATTCATACAAACATCAAATTAAAAATAAATAATCTTTTAAACAATCAAAAATTCTGGTGCTGGTGGAGACTGATCAACAAACAACCGAACAAAAGAGGAATCCTTTTATCATGCACTCATCACTGGCAACGCGACACACCTATAATGCTACTCCAACCTGCGCACAAGGGAACAAGTGACCTCAAGACAAGAGCACTATCTAGTGGCCAGCCCAGCACCAGCAAAAGAAAACGAAACCATAACCAACTAAATAGCCCGGTGGAGAACATAACATTATTATTATATATTTTTTGTAAAAACCTTACCAACCCAAATGTTTAAAGCTGTGTATATCTACTAAAGATTTTAGTAACTCTTAAATCATTAGATAATGTGAACTAACAAAAGCAATATAGTTTTATAGTATTCAGTAATGTAAATAAAAATGTATTTTTTGTACACTTAAGTCATTTTTTATATATTAGTAGCTGTCGAAACTAAAATATATTTATGGTTAATTTCAAACTAATATTTTACATTTTTGATAACACATGAAACCTTATTCTTAGGTAGTACCTAGTTGTTGTTTGTTTGTTATGTTTTTTTGTTTTTTTTTTTTTTTGCTTTCAGGAATACATAAGCATAATTTTGTCACTCTGTAATTCCAGATCCGAACTCGAGCCATCTCAGCCAAATCCATGACTCTTGTCAGTCCTCTTCAACTCATTCTGTTCGGCTCAAAGAAGATCACATCCAATGGAGAAGTTGTTGAGCTTGACGACTGGTATGTGTTTTATAAAGCTTTAAATTATGAACGAAAGTATGAGCACTCCAAGTTAAATCATTCTAAATATTCATGTCTTGTGCAGGATCAAACTGCAGATTCCTCATGATGTGGCTGCTGGTGTGGCCGGCCTGAGGGCAGGATTGGAGGCGCTGGTGGTGGAAGTGACCAAAGATCCAGAATACATCAGGAATCTGGATCCTCTCAATGAGCGCTTGCTGAACGTCATTCGGCTCGTGTCGAGACCCTCGTCAGCAGGCATCAACCTCATGGCCTCCAACCCACGGTGAGATCATTGAGCCCTTATACAAAGTTGATTTGTTTAGGATGAAGTTCCAACTGAATAGGCCTGGGTGGTTCATCAATATGAAATTACAAGCATGATTGAGCAAAGCTGTGATTGTGATCAGTAGTAAATCTTCACCGAAGGCACTCTCCTGTGAAAATGCCAAACACTATTACAAAGGAAACCTAGGAAACCCCCATTGTTGCGTTATAAACAGAAGATTTAACTGCTTTTATTTTTTCAGCTTGACTAATAAACACACGACCTTGGAATCATCTCACAGGATTTATTTCAAACACTCAACTGAAGTTAAAAGTGAATTTGGAGTAAAAAAATAACCTTATTATATGTGGTATTTTTACTTGCAGCAATTACCACACAGAGCCATAGTTCAATGAAAAGTGAGGCAAACAGCTGTCATCATCACTGAATGATTATCTTAATTTTATTATGATTTTATTTAATCTGTTTAGATTTTAAACACTATTTTGCACTGTAGTAAACTGAAAAAATGCAGATAAAAATCACCTTTAATTTATCGTCCAGCTGTCTTAATGAAGACCGCAATAATCATAGACATGATGAGATGACATGCGTATGTGTGATAGGTTTAATGGATTAATGGAACTTTGTTGGCAGCTGGCTCTCTGCAACCTTCACATGGTCCCTCACTATAGCTAAGCAGGGCTGCGCCCAGTCAGTACCTAGATGGGAGACCACATTGAAAAGCTAGGTTGCTGCCAGAAGTGTTGTTGGTGAGACCAGCAGCGGGGCACTAAACCTGTAGTTTGTGTGGATCCTAATCCCCCAATATATTGATGGGGACTCTATACTGCAAAGTGAGCATTGTCTTTCAGATGAGACGTTAAACCGAGGTCCTGACTCTCTGTGGTCGTTAAAAATCCCAGGATGTCCTTCGAAAAGAGGCATCCTGGTGAAATTTGCCCACTGGCCTCTGTCCATGATGGCCTCCTAATCATCCCCATATCAAAATTAGCTTCATCATTGTGTCTCCTCTCCACCAATAAGCCAGTGTGTGGCTTCCGCCGCGTCATCTAGGTAGATGCTGCACACCTGGTAGTGGATGAGGAGATTTGAGTGTCCAGAAAAGAGCTATATAAATGTAAAGAATTATTATATCAAATAATGGACTTTAAACAGGTTGTTTGAATTTGGCTACTTTGAGCTCATTAGTACTTTTAAAAGTGCTTTTAGTATTAAATTATTGTAGTTTGGTGGCTTAGGTCTGATCTGTGTTTACTTGTATTCGTCTTTATTTTTACATATTCTTAAGCTTATGGGACATTCCACCAGAAACGTACATTTCACTAATGAAAAAAGTGACAAGGCCTGACCTTTAAGATTGTCCTCTTTAAAAAAAATTATACAAAAACAAGCATAAAATCATACAATCCAATAATAAAAATTCATCCTTGATCTCTGTGAGCTTCTCCTTCATTAAATGATGTCACTTTCTTTGAGTCATAGCCTAAAAAAATGTAATGCAAGTGTGACCGGACTGACAAACATGGAGACAATTGTAAAATAGTATTTATTTGTAGAATTTATTCGTAGTTTCATGTTTTTAATGAATTGATGTGAATGATAACAACCTAAACTTACTATTTCTGAAGTTGTATTTATTTTTAATAGGTTTTTAGCAGAACAAAACTATTAAAGCTGTAGGTTCAATTAGACTGAGGACAAGGACAGTAACAGGGTTTGTACATTCACAAAACGTTTTTAATGAGGAAAAATATCTGAGAACCAAATGAATGACATATTCCTTTACAGCACAACTCACAGAAATTAACAATCAGTCCATTTTAGAAATGTTTGGGACGAAATGCTTTTTATTTATTGTAAGTTTTATTTCATGTACAGATAATGTACATTTCTGGTAGAATGTCCCTTATATTGTTAAATTTGAAAGATTTTTCTTCTGTTAAAATACATATTTAGTTTTATCCAACATTATACTGATGCACTTGGTTAGGAGAAAGTCTCAAATAGTCTAAAAAGGCTTATTTAAACTTCAGTTATACCTTGAGCTCAGCAATAATGCATCTCGACTGACTGCTTTTAATTGGATCACAGAAAATACATTAATTTCATGTGGAAACAGCGCTTGAGGTGTTATGGTTGTGTAACTCATCATCTTTTGGGTTTTTACAGCTTTGGAGATGGTCCACGTCCACCTAAGATGGCCCGGACTGACTTTGGAGGCGGTGGAGATTTTAGGGGAGGAGGAGGATACAGAGGTGGTGGAGGATACAGAGGAGGTGGAGGAGGATACAGAGGAGGTGGAGGATATCAGGGTGGTGGGGGAGGATATCGTGGTGGAGGCGGTGGAGGATACAGGGGGTATGGAGGAGGAGGTGGATATAGGGGATCTGGGGGATATAGGGGGTCTAGTGGAGGTGGAGGTTACGGAGGCGGAGGGAGAGGATTCAGAGGAGGAGGAGGAGGAGGTGGTGGTGGCGGCTGGGGGGGAAACAGGGGTGGATATTAGAATTGATCGTCTGAGCATGGATATATGCAAGAAGGTAAATTATGTGTAAGTTTGGTCGGTTCTCAGTCTTTTTTCTTTTTATTTGTAAGAAAGCATGACAAAAATAAAAACATTAATGTCATACTGTATACTAATGACAGTAATTTTGGCTAATAGTTAATAAAAAATAGCTATTTGTGACCATCAGTGTCTCAATCCTTTTTTTATTGATAGCAAATATATGCTTAGTGTTGTATTCTAATAAAAATCATCAGTTTTTTTATTATTATTGTGTTTTAAATCAATTGTTCTCCACTGCTTGTTTAAGCAAATTTTTAATCAGATATTAGCACTGCAGCAATTCAACGCATTTAGGGATGTAGACATTATGATGATACAATACTTCTGTTCAAACAGCATCAGAAAGAGGAAGAATAGTGATTTAAGTTGATCCCTAATGAATTTACTTCCTATCAATTCAACTTCAATTGCTTGTAAACCTTTATGAGTTTCTTTATTCTGTTCAAAGTCAGTGGTTATTGGGTTCCAGCTTGCTTTAAAATATATTAGTTTGTGTTTAACAGAATACAGAAACTCATAAATGTCTGGAACAAGTGTCGGCGCCTATAGCCTAATGGTTAAGTGTGACAAATAGCACCATGATGCTCACGACAACCCGGGTTAGATTCGCAGCTCAAGGTCCTATGTCAATCCTCCTCTTTCTGTTCCCAATGTTTCCTGTTTGTGTCTGTCCTCCTAATATCCTATTCCAGTAAAAAGTGGAAATAAATAAATAAATTAAATAGAAAATGTCTGGATTATTGACACAGATGAACTATTCAGCCAAATTGAATGAAAAAGGGAAGTTTAACCTGATAACAGCAACATGTACCTGACAAACTTGTCTGTCTGTCTGTGTGCGCGCGTGCATGTTAATAAAATAAGGCTAATTTTAATCTGTAAGAAAATTGTTGAAAACCCAAACTCAAACTTACTGGTGTGAATCAAAAACTCAGTTTCCAGATGTGTGCTTTTGCAGCAACTCCTGACAAGTATTGTATCCAGATTGAGCAATGCTTAAGATATGAATGTCAAATCTGTTTTTTTTATGAATAACAAAATAAATGAAATATTTGTAGTTGGAAGAGTGTGTGCCTGCCTATAAAACGGTATGAGAACTTTGGAACGTTGAGATCTGATGTTGTTATCTTCTGAGACGTATGAATCACTTTATATGCTAATTTTTTTCATCTGTTGAGCGCTTGTGAAACATTAATATATTTGACTTGATTTATTTTATTTAAACTTTTTTTATTTATTTTATTTTGACTTTATAAAAATTAATGGCTTAAATATGTGGACTAGATTGGGGAAACAATTCATTAGAAAATACCAGCAAATAAAGTTTAAGACTTTAAATTTATCATTAGTTTTTGCTTAATTGCTGTGTTTGATGAGTAAAAACAGCATTGTGAGAAGCATGTGTTTATTTGAATAATAACCTCGGATCTGACGTTTGTTGCGTTACTTTAGCATTGCAGACGCGTTTGCTAATTATTGCCAATAGAGGGCGATTTAAACCAGCAGCGATCAAGTTGAAATATAATTGGGGGGTAACTTAAGAGGATAGTTCACCCCCTAAAAAAGTAAAATTGTGTCCAATTGAGTTTTTTTTTTCTTCAAGTGAACACAAAGGAAGATGCTCTGAGGAAAGTTAGAGAAAAGCAGCCATTGACTTCTGTAGCATTTTTCTTAATGTCAATGATTTCCCCCAACATTCTTTATATTATATTGCTTCATGTCGAACAGAAGAAAGAAATTCTTTTTAAACATTGTTTATTGTGTTTTTCCAAGTTAAACACAGAGTACACACCCCAAACCTCCAACCTGTAGTGTCACGAATAAACCATGAATAAATTTAAAGAAACAAAGAAACAAATCTTGCCACTTTTTCAAACAAAACACATTTTTTTGCAAAGGTATATAAAATGACACTTTTTTAATCCACTTGTAAGTAGATGGTGGTTTAGAATCTTTCCATCTCAAAGTTATACACTTTATGGCAGCTATAGGGCGAGTCTGACAAATCTTAGATTAATCCTCTCTTGATCAAGTAGTGTAGAAAAAAAGGTACAAATCTGTACCTAAAAGGTCCACATTAATACCTCAAGGATACATATTAGTACCTTAAAAGTACAAAATTGTTTCTCTTAATTTTTAGGTACTAGTATATATACTTTTAAAGGTTACCAATATGGACCCTTTAAGTACAAAGCTTTAAAAAGGTACCACTTCAGTGACAGCTCGCATAGCTTTATTTCTGAGAGTGTATGGCAATAACCCCTAAGACCTCTTTTTAATATTCTTCTATGTCATGACAAGACAACAGCATATTGAAGAAGAAAAAAATTAATTCAAGTTTAGAACTACTTGAACGTGAGTAAATGGTGGGGATTTTTCATGTTTCTGTGAACTATTGTTTCGATGTTTTTGAATGCTTCATTTGTTTTGTTAAAACTTATAAATTAAACTGCAGACTTAGTTACTACCCGTTTCATTCACTGTAAAAAAAAAAAAAGAAAAAAATGCTGGGCTCCACACAATTCCTACATGTCATCGCAACACGAATTAAGTCAACTTAATTCTTTTGAAAAATTTAAGTGGATTAAAAATAAAACAGTTAATTTGTCCCCCAAAAATCTCAAGAATTATGTTGATTCACACTGTTAAAAATACTGTGTATGTTTTACTTTAAAACATTGAGTCAACTATTTGCGTCAGCCTTGAGAGTATTTCGTTCATTCATTCATTTTCTTTTCGGCTTAGTCCCTTTATTTATCCGGGGTCGCCACATTGGAATGAACAACCAACTTATTCAGCACGTTTTATGCAGCGGATGCCCTTCCAGCCGCAACCCATCTCTAAGAAACATCCATACTCAGTCATTCACACACATACACTATGGACAATTTAGCTTACCCAATTAACCTGCACCGCATGTCTCTGGACTGTGGGGTAAACCGAAGCACCCAGAGGAAACCCACGCAAACGCAGGGAAAACATGCTAACTCCACACAGAAACGCCAACTGACCCAGCCGAGCCATGAACCAGCGACCTTTCTGCTGTGAGGTGACAGCACTACCTACTGTGCCACTGTGTCGCCGTGAGTATTTCAAACTCATTTTATTTTAGTTTGTCCTACTAGACTTTGCATGATCTCAACTTACACTTTCAAGTAACTCGGGTCTGGCTAGAGCAGATTTTTCTCGGCTAGACATTCAGACATTTGCCTCTGACTTCGATGGCTCCACAATTAATGTGTCATGAAATTAAGATTTAATCGAGAATGTAGGCTATTTGTTTAAAACTCAAAAACATGGTGCATATGTAATTATTATTTTATTTTTTGAAAATGCGGATATCAGTGACCTTCAGGTGATGACGGGCGCCTAATGAATTCATCTTAAGCAGGCATTCCTCGGCTGGTCATGACATTTACCTGAAAAAAGCCTTTTTTTTCTTTTTCTATTTTTACTAGAGTAGGCTATGGCATGACAATAACACAAACATTTTGATTTGCCATTCAAATAGTTTAGTCTTACCTTTTTTATGGCCTCATATTGTCGGTCCTCATAACTCGAATAGAAAACTCAATATGGCGGTGTGATCAAGAATGTTCTGGAAGCCACATCCACATATTGCAAATTTTAAGTAAATTCTACTTAAGAGTTTCACAGAGAGGCACTAATCCAAAAACTTGTCAATATTATGCAAGATAATACATTAAGAATTTAATTGTAAAAAAATATGTATTTACAACAAATTCATAGTACTGAAATGTTAAAGTAAATAAAAAAACATTTATTTGTTGAAATATTCATTATTGTTCATTACAATAATGAATCTGCTGAGTATTTTTTCTCAGTGCCGCTCATTTTAATTAAGTATAGTTTGAACAAGCAGGAAAAAAAAAATTGTGTGTTGTTAAATTTTAAATGTAACCTGCAGATACTTACTGCAGTTTTTAAAATTATACATAGCAAAGAAATCAGATTTACTAAATAAACAAATCATTCCATAGGATGCTTGGAATGTCTCTGAGCAGAATTTAATATATGCACAAAGCCTGTGGGTAAGATGACTACATATTAAATACCTCTTATATCCTGCACAGACTTTAAAGTCTCCTTAAAGAACAATTGCAGCTGTATGTGTTCAGAGTCAGACAATGCACATCTTGGACGTGCCTGAGCTTGATGCAGGCCTTCATACGGGGGGCTGGAATGAGGATTTGACAAAGCGTTGACACTTATTTCTCATTTTGACTTGGGAGTAAATCTAGCATTTCCCACTGTCTTGAATGTAGTGGGTGACTGAGAGAGAGACAGAAGTCTACTTTAAACAGATCGTTATAATGGCAAGAAACTTGGCTCAACAATGTAGTCTTTGTTTTTAATGAATTAATTTTTTAATGAGGAAAGTGTATGCATCTTTCTTTCCTCATATGGTTCTATCCTGTTTTTTTAATGAACTGTCATGTATCATGTATTTATCATGTTAAATAAACTGATTGATCTGATATATTATCTTGTTAGACACCAGGTGTGAGTGAGAGAGTTCTTTGATCACCTTTTGATTAAATCGTAATTGTATTATCTTAAGGAATGTCTCTGAATACTAATGATCATTCTACTCACTGCCAGTCTGGAGTATGAAGTCTATTATTAGCCTTATCAATAGTAAACATAGCTTTCCAGATAATTCAGTATACAGCAGCTCTCGCTTTCCAATCAATACATTCACTTTGGTTGTAAATATTTTTATACAAGAAAAAGGAGAGTTTCTATTACTATTAATGAAAATAAAATGATCAAAATAGAATGTGTCTGTTTGTTAAATGTTGATTTAATTACTTATGTGTACTGGTAAACTGCATTCATTTAATATTTATTTCAAAAATAAATCTACAAGTTGAGTTTGAGGTAACATTCATTCGTTTTCCTTCTATTTGTCCTTTTATTTATCAGGGTTCGCCACAGTGAAATGAACCACCAACTTATCCAGCATGTGTTTTACACAGCGAATGCCCTTCCGTCTGCAACCCAGTACTGGGAAACACCCACACAGACTTATTTATATATGCACTCATACACTATGGCCAATTTAGCTTATTTGATTCACCTGTACCACATGTCTTTGGACTGTGGGCGAAACCGGAGCACCTGGAGGAAACCCACCAACAAGGGGAGAACATGCAAACTCCAGACAGAAATGTCAACTGACTCTGCCGGAACTTGAACCAGCGACCTTCTTGCTGTGAGAAGACAGGGCTAACCACTGAGCCATTGTGTCGTCTTGAGGTAATATAGTTTAAAAAATAGTAATTTGAATTTAACAAATTTTTTAATTGAGAGTAGCAATAGCTAATTGCAGTCATTTGAGGTCATATGCCAGGATTGTTTTTTTTAATTTATTATTGTATGCCCACATTCACAAAATATTAACATCAAAATATATAAATCTGTTACAGAATGTCAGTGGTGTAAAGTACTTGAGTAAATGGACTTCGTTACTTTACTTAAGTATTTTTTTGGGGCTATTTTGTACTGAGTATTAAAAATATAAGCAACTTGAGGTGAATCACATGAAAGTCAGCTCTGAATCTTATTTTACTATGTTTTACTACTTTTTTGGACGTTTGAGTTTGACTAAAACTTTTGTTCTATTTTTTTTTCTATTTTGTTCTACAATTTTGAAACATTAAGGGTTCCATTTAATTTCTATATTAGGAAATAAAACATTTATTTGTGTTCTTTGAGCCTACATTCAGTATGAGTAAAATACTTGAGTTCTTTTAAAATCGGATACTTTAATACTTTTACTCAAGTCTTATTGGAATTGGTGACTTGTAACTTTTAATGGAGTAATTTTTACAGTAAGGTATCTATACTTTTACTCAAGTATGGTTTTCATGTACTCTTTACAACTCTGCAGAATGTAGTCTTAAAAATGGAAAGTAACTATGAAATTAATATAAAAAAGCATAACTAAATAGGTAAAAGTAAAGTAATCACACAATTGTAGAGCAGTCTTTAAGTGAAGGCTGTAACAAAACTGTTGTTGTGAATGACAAGGATATGTGTT